CCCCAAAACCCCAAAACCCCAAAACCCCAAAACCCCTTTTATCATTATTACTATTGAAAATTAAGAACTGGCTTTGTACTCCTATTAATAAATTTGAAAAATGGGTTTTCCAAAACTCATCGTTTGGATCTTTGGACCCTCATATCGGTCCTCATTCATCAAGAAGCTCTGTTTCACCTGTCTATTGGGAGTAGGAAGAATATGCTTATTGCCTATTTTAATATTTGTCCTTTCTAATGATTTTGTAACTGTTAGAGGCATCTTTAACTTCATCACAGACCCCTTGCTATGAGAAACACTGATGCTCCTCAGATGAGCTGGATGGGGGACCCCATCCAGCTGCATGCTGTGGTGCTTACTCGAGATTCTCATGCATTTCTTCAAGTGATTGATCCTTCTTTTGTTGGAGTCAATCACTATTTTGGGACTGGCCTTAAACACCTTCGATCTGTTAAACATCGAATTTGTCATATGAGCTCAATTAATAATGTTAGGCAAATGGATCGATTTTACTACAGATTTAAAAACAAATCTTACTTTGCTTGGACTCTACAGGGGTCGATCTGCCCATATGAGGCTTGGAGTAATAACTCTGGGCTGTTTTACGAAAGACAACTCCTTTCCTTATTTCATTGTTCGAGCTATTGGCCAGGGATTCTTGGATGATTGAATTTTGGAATAGATTATTTGGTCTTTTAGTAAGCCTATAAGTTTCGTTTACAATTATTTCAAAAATTTCAAACTAACCTGCTAGAGCTTTTAGAAGTTGAATTTTCATATAGAGTGTCATCCTGAGTTTCCTTAGCACTATCTGGCTCCGCACGCATAGCTTTTTGGAGAGTTCTATATGATCTTAGATTCCTTAAATTTCTGATAAAGTTAAATCATAATTTTGATAACTAGTTCTAAATTGGGTTGTATTTATATCCTACTCTCCCAATTTATGCTAACTAATCAAAATTTCAAAACTGGACTTAAAAGCCAAAAGTACAATGACTCAGCTCAGCTTTTGACTGAGAAAAGCCCATACAGCATCTAAATTGTCTCAATTTCATAACATCCAATTATACAGAAAAGAGGCAAAATAATTAGAATATATTTCCGTGAGACTTACGCTGTTCAAATCCTCTGATCACAAAGTTGGCTGATTTGGTCAACATCCAGTTCAAACAACTGATCTCTTTTAGGGATAATTTTCCTGTCTTCCTTTTGGCTCCGACTGTGACCATTAATGATGTTAAACAATGCATTCCTTGATTCGTCCTTGCTTTGGTCCATCATGTCTGCTTTATTATTTTCAACGTGAATTCTCTAAATGGGGTTTTGGGGTTTTGGGGTTTTGGGGTTTTGGGG